TTCAGCAGGTGCTGTGTAACTGGGCTCATCCAGCTGATACAACTGTGTAGCTCTAGTTCAGGTAGCACCACGTGTAACAGCAGTGATCTGTGTGCAGTTTTGTTGTTAACACCACTTAGTAATTGTTTTTTCCCTTTGTGTCTCATATTTTAATGCTAGCCACAACAAACTGAAGAATATCCCAGAAGAGCTGATGCAGTTGTCACATTTGAGGAGCCTTCTTTTTCATCACAACGAGCTGAGTCACTTGCCAGATGGATTTGGACAGCTTGTCAATTTAGAAGAATTAGTAAATTACAACTTTTTGAAAAATACTAATTTGTGCAGAAATGCTGATGTATCCATGTTTTGGTATTGCTAATTAAAAAAACTCCATAGCTTAGATGGCAGAACTTTGTGAATATTCTATTGACTTATGTAGGTTGTCAGTTATTACATGGTGGGGGTTTTTTTCTGTTATTTGAAACCAGGTTTTGCTCTTGGTTTGGCAGATATTTTAAGAAAAATCCCTTGTGATCTGTCAGTCATGGGAGAATTGTTTCTTCTATTCACATTCCTACCAAGGAGATCCTGAAGATGTCAGCCATCTAATTTTAATGTTCTGCCAGTAATTAAGTTTACAGTAGCAGTACTCGTGGGATATTTTAAACATCTCTAACCTCTCTCTCTTTCTTTTTTTAATCTTCAGGATCTGTCCAACAACCACCTCACACACATTCCAACAAGTTTTGCTTTGCTCGTTAACTTGGTGCGACTCAATTTGTCTTGTAATCAGCTCAAGGACCTGCCTGCAGATATCTGTGCAATGAAAAGTAAATTAGTTTCCTCAGATTATTAAATGCCATATGGCCAGTTCTGTAGTTATGTTCAGAAGTATAGTGCATGTTATTCAGGATTTTAAAAACGTATTCATAAAGAGTTGATCTATTCTCAAGAATATTAGTTCAGAATTATTAAAAAAAATAAGCTACAGCTACTGTATATTAAACTTGAGTCCTCTTATGGTTCATATTTTGTGATAAATGGGACACAGAATGATGGAAAAGTTTAAAGATTAGTATCATTCCAACAAGAATTTGTTAGTCTTAAGACTGCAATAAGCAATTTGACGATTTTTTTTTCTTTATTGCATATTTTGAATGGAAAATAAAGCATAAATGAGAGATAATTGAAATTGAAATTAATGGACAGGAAAAAGCCCCATAAATTAGACATTGATAAAGCTGTCTTCCAATATTTGAGTGTTAAATATCAATCTAACTAATGGTTGGCATGATATTTTAATAGTTCTGGCAGATCTACAGCAACAGACTGCCAGCTTTTATAAATAAATGCTATAGAAGTTACGTGCAGATCTTTCTGAGAGAGCCTGCATTATCAGACCCCTTCGCATTCCTCCAGTCCCGTACTCTGAATGAGAGCCGGTGTCTGGCAGTGGCATTGAAAGCTTTTCTGAATGCCCCGTGAGGAACAAATGAAAAGCAGATACCTTGTTTTTGGAAATGTTGATGCTAACAGATTTGATTTCTTCCAGAGTTCTGATTTGCAAAATGTTATGTTTCTTTTCAAAAACAGGATGTTTATGCTTCTGTAGAAAAGCATTTTCATTTTCTCTTACTTTCCTGTTTGTTCCTTGCACGCTTTCTTCTGTAGGCTTAAGACAGCTGGATTGTTCTAAAAACTACCTGGAAAGTGTACCTTCTAAATTAGTGACTATGGCATCTTTGGAACAACTTTATCTGAGGAAAAATAAGTTACGTTTCTTGCCAGAATTTCCTTCATGCAAATTATTGAAGGTAAGATTTAAAATAGTTGATATACTGTAAATGTATTTACTGTAAACTTTTAAAATAATAACTGTGACTTGATCACAGCAATTCACAAAAATTTGTATTTAAAGTGGATAATTCTATGTTTAGAAGTCCATTTAATACATCCCTATTTTCAGTTGCTCTTACTGTCACCATTGGTCAATCTTAAAGTCATTTGGAAGACAAATTTGCAGCAGTACTCTTCAGATTTGGAAAACAGAATAAATATTTAGATGAGGAATGACTGAAAAACTAGATTTAGTATTGCTTGCAACAGTTATTTTTTTATCTCTAGAAACATTGTCTGAATAAATTTTCTTTGTTCACGTGGTTTAGGGCTGGGCTGGCCACTAAATCCTGGACAGATGCTCTCTGTTAACCCCTCTCCCCTCCCCAGAAGGGAACAGTAAAGAGAATAAGGGAGAGAGGCTTTATGGGTTGGAAAATAAACTAACAGATTTAATGAAACAATAATACTACAGGATAACAATCTAAATAGGAAAATAATGAAATATATGCAGATACGTACAAATATATACAAAACCAATATAAAATCCTCCTTCCACCGTCCCCCCAATGACGAATACGTCACCAGAGGCTCTGCAGAGCCGGGACCTGGAAACGCCCCAGCCAAAACTACGCACCAGCACACACAAATCAGGATCAGTGGCAGATGAACTGGCAGGATTCCGCTCAGGCCTTGGCCTCTGCAGGATCGAGATGGACGGAAGGGTCCGAGATGGAAGGGCTCCAACATGGAAGAAGGTGTAAAGGGAACGAGACCCTCGTGATCTCTCGATTTTTATACCAAGTATGACGTATGTGGGATGCAATACCTCGTTGGTCCGTTTTGGGTCCCCTTCCCCCCCCCCCAGGCACAGACACAGCACCCATGATGAGACAACTGACCTTGAGCATATCTTCTAGCAGCGCTGTTTGGGAAAAACATGCTGCTAGTTTTCAGCAAGTTCAGTCACTTAAAAGAGACTGAGCTGAAAAGTAAAATCACCAAATAGAAAATTAGTTCTATTTAGCTCAAACCAGGACAGTTCTTTATCATTTTTTTCTTTGTAACTTCAGAGAAAGTAGACTTTTTTTTCTTTTAGCATATCAGATTTCATAGCCATAATTCCCAGTACGTTTAAAATTGAAAATTGCCTGTCTCACAACATCAGAAATTTGTTACTCAAGTAGTAGAGAAATGATTGGGCCAAGTATCACTGTGTTGTTTCGAAGGACCACATCCGTCAAAGAATGCAGATACTTCAGTTCTGCATTGCTCTGATCTCAACAGTTAAAATGCCAAGCTATTTCAGTATTTTCTAATATAATTCATGTTGGTGTTTGAAGTTGGCGAGTGGTGAGCAATTGCATTGTGCATCACTTGTTTTGTATGTTCCAGTTCTATTATTATAATTATGATAATCTTAAAATTATTTTCATCTTATTATAATTCTTCTTATTTTCTTCCTTTATGTCTCTGTCTCAACCCGTGAGTTTTACTTTTTCTTGATTCTCTTCCCAACTCCACTGGGGTGGTGGGGACTGAGTGAGTGGCTGCATGGTGTTCAGGTGCCTGCTGCCGGATTAAACCATAACCTGTGTCCTGCAGTGTGTGTACACTTTCTGCTAAAAAAAAACCTTCAGTTTTCCCATTATAAGTGAAACATTTCCAACAGGAAGATAGAGAGCTACCCTCTCAGTTTCCTATAACTTGAAATTTAGGAAAATTCTTGAGTAAAGAAGTCACTGACAAGTTCTTGACAAAAGCAGAGCAAATTTATTCCTAGCTTGGAAATGGAACTCAAAGCTGAGGGTTCTGTAATGGCTTCAAAAAAGCCAAGGTCAGACACATGTCTCAGGATCTTTGGAGGCTTTGATATTTCATCTGCAGATGAAAGGGGATCGAGACCTATATTTTTTCCATGTCATTGTATGGTTTTGCTGATGTCATGATTTAGGAGATTAGTAAGTTAGAAAGTAATTTTAATACAGTAACATAACTGTTTCTTTGTTTCCGTAGGAATTGCATGCTGGTGAAAATCAGATTGAAATATTAAATGTGGAGAATCTGAAGCATCTGAATTCGCTCTCTGTATTGGAACTTAGAGACAACAAGATAAAATCAGTTCCTGATGAAATTACTTTGCTTCAGAAGTTGGAGCGCCTTGACCTTGCCAACAATGATATCAGTAGGTAATATTAAAAACTGCATTATGTCTGTGATGGGGCATAGCTAATGACATCTAATGGCAACTAATTCTGTAGCTGATGTATTTCACTTTGTAAAGTGTAATTAAAAAAGTCTCAATCATAAAATGAAGGAACCCTTTCTATCTTGTGTAACTGCTATGATCAAACTGTGCCTTTCTTAAATATAATATGTTCTGTATCTTTTTATTTGAACCTGAGCTTCAGAATACCAGACCATCTGACAAACAGTTGCAAACTCTTTAGAAACTGTTTTGAAGCCACTTTGAAATGTGTTGTTTCAATTTGCAGATTGCCTTACTCACTGGGCAACCTTCCTCTGTTGAAATTTCTGGCTCTGGAGGGAAATCCTTTGAGAGCAATTCGAAGAGACCTTCTGCAGGTAAGCACTGTAGACTGTATATAAAGTTGTGTCATGTCGCATATGTGCGTTATCCAGATTGTGAGGATTGTTCATATTTGGGTACTCTTTCCACTAGAGTCTGATGCAGTGCATAAGATCACCAGGACTGTGGAATAAAGGAGGTTGTTGCTTTATAGGACCTGTTCTTGATGTGCTACAGAAGTTATAGTATATATTGCACATGAAGCAGTGGATGTCTGGGAAAAGAAGGACAAGGCAGCTCTCTGTGGCCTAATCCTGTTGCAGTCACAGTTTGTTGCAGTGCTGGACAAGTACTTTACATCAGGCTATTCCTAGATGATCATGGATTTCTGCTTTTCATTTCCTGCTCGCCTGATTTAAGGATCTAGGGTTCCATTTCCAAAGCGTATTTGATGGCAGCTGCATTTTGAACAATGACAATTGTATGTACTGTGTCATTGCATGGATTGCTGTCTTTTCTCCGTGCTGGTATACATTACTTCTTTCTGTGCTTGTGCCAGTGTTATAAATTAAATGTTTACAAAGCACTGGGATTCTCTAAAAATAAACAACGCTGAAGACTCTGTTGCAATGAAATCTTGTAATTTCTGTCAGAAAACGGAAAACATCGTGTATCTGATTAAGTGAGCATTGTGTGCACTAAATCAGTGAGCAGGGGATCAGTGGGTAGAAGCCATCCATGATTCCCAGGTGCCAAGTTGGCTTGCACTGTACATGCAGAGGAGCCCAAGTTAGGTTGGTTACTTCAGTTCTGGTATTCCCTGGCTTTTGAGGGTTTGCTGCCATTCAGATGTAAGAGCATGGAGGTGTGCAATTTCTTGTGTGTATTTCAAATTTGTAGCAAATGACAGGTACGAGGATTCTGTTATGACACTTCATACTTACATCTCAGTCCATCACCAACACTGTAAATCATGTAACTGTAATTTTATATGCTTATCTAGATCTTTTTACCCTTGGTTTAGAGGAGTAATTGATAAAGCTTGTAGGGTTCTCCAGGCACTTCTTAGCATAAGGTGAACACTGAAATTAAGGATTGGCAGGGACTGGGGTTAAGCGTCTAGCAGGCGCAGATTCTTCTCTTGTCGATCCCTACTCTCTCTCATCTTTTCCTTGTAAAATAATAAGGAAAAGTTAGCTTTATCCTAAAACAAATGGACTAGAGGAGATTATGCTTAATTGCTCATAGATTATGCAGATAGTAACTGCATAATGCAGATAGTTTGGCCAGTGGAAGTTGCTATGAGAGGACCGAAGGTCATATCTTTGCAGAATCGAGTTGCTAAAAATCCATGCAACTTATGTAAACAGTGTTTTTGCCAGAGTTTATAATTTTGGACATAAAATGTTACCAAAACACTGAACAGTCGGCTACCTTGACAAAATTTAAATTTCTTTTTCATAGCATAATTGTTTTAAACATTTAAAAGAGAAGATTAAGTTCATTTGAACATTTTTTTCCTTGCTCTTGGGACTGGTTAACTACTTCAGATAAAAAGCTAAAAATGCAGAGCCTGAGATAGTGACATGGGATTTAAGATTTTCAACTGGAATAAATAAAATTGTAAGTAGGCAAGTTTATAAGGTGCTGCAAAGAGGGTTTTTCTATGGAAAGCATTTAGTGGCTTTTATAGTCAGCAAAGCTATGGGCTCCACCTCTGTGACCAGAATTGTCATGTCTCATTGTCAAGCAGTCATACCAACACTGGCTGGCACATACTGACTTTTGTGTTTTGTTTTGTTTTGTTTTTTTCCTTAAAGAAAGGCACCCAGGAACTTCTGAAATACCTAAGAAGCAAAATCCAAGGTGTGTTGTTCTGTTGCATTGCATTTCAAAGATAATAAGAAATTAAAGATTCTAAGAAATTAGAACTGTTTCAATCCAGTTTCGTTCAGTTAACCTGCGTTAATAGAGTTTTCTTTACTCAACAGTTTGCTTCTATATTTCAGTGTTGTTTCTTTTTCTTATTCTATTAGATAAGGCCAAATAGCAAACATTCCTTATTGAGAATTATAATTTAGAAAAATAAAGTTAAGTATTTTTCCCCTAGTCCCTTTATTCATTTTGCATGAGGAATTCCAGTAGCTTTTTAATTTTTATCTTGAACATCATGGGAAGCTTACGTATGGGGTTCTTCTTTTTAAGCGTGCCATCTGTCTGCTGGTTTGGTTGCAGTTGGAAAAGCAGGTGATATTTTTCGTGGGTGTTATGTGTTATTTAATATAACATCTAATTTAATATATATTTCTAATAACACAGGCAGTCCTAGGATTCCCAGAAAGTACATGCATGGAAAAGTCTGTCTTGAAGACTTGGGGATGCCATGAAGTCTACCACATAGCTGACTAAGAATATACAAAGTTTTGAGGGAGAAATTAACTGGTTATTTAAAACATCATTCTAATCCTGGCCTGTGAGAATTAATCTTTCTACCATCTGATAGTCTTGATCCCAACATTCCCCATAGAAATAATTAAAAAGTCATAAAGCAGAAAATCAGATGAAATATGGGGTTTATTTCTCTGCACAAATGCTGTATGCTTTCACAGAATCCTCTATTGGATTCAGAGCTCTACCTCTGTGGATTAAAAAGCATCTAGAAGATCCTTAGAGACCTTCATCCTTCTTAAAATTTAAGACAAAAAGTAGGCAAAATGACCAGGTTCACTGGTCATGTTAAATATAGTATGGAAATGATTATGTTGTACTTAAAGGGCAAAAAAAGCTTAACTTCTTAATTTAGAAAGGATCTTGATGATCCGTGTAGGCAACTTTCCTTGAAAGTGTACATGTGAATTTTCCTGGTTTTGTAAATGGGTTTTCTCTCGTCTGCCCGAGGATGGCAGTATTAATTAGGTTACTGCAGCATAGAAAATTGCTTCAGACTGTCAGGTTCCATGCAAATCTGACATATTATTAACTTGACAAAAATTAATTGGATCTAGAGTGCACACTCAGAAGCTTATCTTGTGAGCTATAGACAATGTAATTGTGGATAATAAAATCAGCTCATGTTTTGCATGTACAACAATGCTTAGGATTTTACTCTACCTGTTACAGCATCTTAAGTAGGAGCTAAACCAGTAGCAGTCCTGTTTCTTTAGAGGTTTAAACTAGAAAAATGCCTCTTTTTTTTTAAGCTTGTTTTTGACCCTTTCGACCTTTCTTAATGAAAGAATAACTAGTGGTTAGACACAATCGTTATTAGACTTTCATTCATGAATGCTACTGGATTACTGTAGAGTTTTCTTCAATTTCTTTTAGTGGAAATTGGATTTATCTTGTGCTTGGACTTGTAGCAAAGCTTCACCCTCTTTGCACGTATGTGAATCCCTCAGGTGAGGTGCCACACCTTGCACGTGCTTTTAATCTGCATTTCTGAAATGTTCAAAGTAGCCTCGCAACACCAACAGCTTTTTCATGTGGATTGTAGACAGTCATCAGAAGGACCTCTGCAGAAAAGGATATGATGGAGGTTTATGTATTCTAATGTTTTAAACTAAACTTGTGTTCAGATTTGCTGTTCTGGGTATAGGTAATCTGGGTCATCATTTCTAGCCCAAGTTCTCTGTTTATCGTTGTTTCTGACTCCCCATGCCGTGGAGGCTACTGCCTAACGTAACTACTGCTAGCGTAGTATCTCTATTCCTTCCTGACCTGTATTGAAAACCCAAGTCAACCCTTCTCCTCCTCACCCCCCCAACCCCCCAAAAAAACCCCAAAACCAAACCAAAAAGCCAAGAAACCCAAGATTACAAAAAATCCTTACTAGAAAATTATTGAAATAATTAGAATGAGTTTATATGGAATTGAGCCAGAGTACAGGGAGAGTTAAAAAGGGTGGTGGCAGGTGACCAGGGGACACTAAACTTCTCCATCGAGGACATTCAGAACACCATGTCTGCTGCAGCCTGTGTTTGTGTGACCATACACATATGTTATCTCTAGATGATGTGACAAGCCCGAATGGAGACCCTCCTGCGACAGCCATGACCCTTCCAAGTGAGTCAAGGGTTAACATGCACGCCATAACTTCACTGAAATTATTGGAATATAGGTATGTGTTTTGAAATAGTACCCATTTCTGAAGTTGTAAGAACACTTTCCTGTTTTTTTTTTCCCCTTCATGATCTGTACCAGATTGTGTGCAAATCCTGCTGCATTTGTGCATTTTCACTTAAATTTGTGTGCTCAGGAATAGGCAGATTTGAATTGCAGGGTTTTAAAAAAAATATTTCTTTGTATTACCACATCTTCCACAGTAACATTCCTTTTAACTGACTGGAATGCTTAATACCTTCAGGTACTTTTGGTACCTTTTAAACTTCTTTGGCAATTATAGTTACGTTTCACTACATCTTGCAGTAAATGAGAGCTGTGACTGGACAGGACCTCACTGGTGAAGGGGTTGGGGTGACTTCAGTTACCACAGATGTTCAGCAGCTCTGAGGTGGGCCATTACCCGAGTTAAGCATTGCTGTGCTGGTGATGCTCTCTGAGCTGAGGGGAGGAAATCCCTTTAATGCCAACCTTTCTACACTTTCTGGCCCAATATGCAGCATTCACACATTTGAGGTAGTGACATAACTGGACTCTGACTGATTTTTCTTAAGCAAGGTAACAGGTGAGGATGGCAGCGTGAGATGGTGCTACCACTCAGATGCCATGCAGTGATTGATAACTTTCTGATTAACAGTCTTTCATGGACTTCAAACAGTAGATATTTATGTATCTGTTCTACTATTCATCTTTTTCTAAAAGCAGAAGAACATATCTTGTTAATAAACAGGCAGTGGTTAACTTGATGGTGTCACTCAGCTGAATGCTTTTCATTGTGCAGTGAGAAACAGGCTGCTGTGGTTCCTGATGAAATGTTTGATGCAGTCAGAAGCCATCCCGTCACCACTGTCAACTTCAGCAAGAATCAGCTGAGTGAGATCCCGCCAAGGTACTTTTGTGAAGGCCATTCTCTAGCTGTTATTGTCTTTTCTCCTTTTATTCCTCAGCATCTTGTGTTTCACCTAATCAAGTATATATATAATGTATGCTAAGTGTGTGTGTACACACCCCCAGTGACAGTATCACTGGGATGCTGAATAATACACATGCATTTCTCCTATGAGTAGCGCACAGGTGGGTTCATTGGTTAGCACGAAGGCTGCAGTAAGAAGCAGCGTGGCTGTACTCAGTGGTGCTGTCGTTACATTTTGTTTTTCTTCTTGTGTTGCTAAACGTTGAAATAAGTGAGGGGACTGATGTGACTTTTCGTAATAGTGAAGTGCTGTGCTTAAGCAGTGTACTATTGTTTTCTCTACAAAGTAGCCTTTTTCCCATATGAAGGTAATCTGACTGGATTCACCACTTTATTGGATGATAGCTTTGTACTGCAGCTGAGGTTCTATTTAAATTCAGTTTCTTCAAATAACATAATTGTTTGTGGGTTTTTTTTAAGGAAGCCTGAACAATTTCCAAGCCTCTCTTCTTGGTAGGTTTTGTGTCCTGTCACATAGCATTTGCTATTATTGCACTTGTTACTTCACCCACAGTCTAGGAAGAGCTTTCTGTTGACACTAATGGGAATAAATAGTCTTTTTGTATAAAGAGGAAGGTTACTGAGTCTCTGGTAGCCCAAGAGAAACATGAAAGCTGATTTTTGAGGATATCACCACATTTGTGATGGTAACTTATTTCCATTCTTGGACCCAAGCATGCTGAACAATTTAGCCTTTAGCACATAGAACTTGAAGAAATGCAATCTCTTTCTCATAGGAAAAAAAAATCTCTTTTCAGTACAATTTGTAGCAAATCAATTTCATGAGATATGTCTGTGCCTCCCATCCTTTTTAACCGTATTAGAAGCTGCTGCATTCACTGGGGGCAAGGTGTAGGCTTGCGACTGCTAGGTGCCAGAGAATTCGGTGGCAATCCAGATAGGAGAGATGAGTATTTTCTCATTTAATTACTTTTTGTTTTTAGGGCTAAACCAGAGGTTCTGTTACACGGATTCAACAATTTAACTTTTGAGCTTTTAACATTTTACACCAAAGTGTCTTAATAGAACAGCCTTTTGCAAGAGGTGGGAATTTGTGATAGCAGTGGAACAGAAACAAAAGATGGAAGTAAAATAACAATATCTTCTTTCTGCTTGTTTGACTGCTAAAGAAGATAGATTGAGTCTTTTTGTTAAAACATTTACAGGGCAGGAGATGATGGTGATGGTCATCTGTGCCATAGTTTCTGAAATACCTCTGGAGTGAGTAGACTTTTGTAGTTAAGATTTACTGTCCTAATCAGTAAGCGAAAGTTTACTCTCCTAATAACTTTAGAAGAGTGATTCTGAGCTTTGTCTTTACATCAGGTGTAAGACTCCAGGACAGGCAGTTTTCACAGGGGAAGTTTCCATTACCTCACTCTGCAAAATTGCTTCTGAAATGTCAGGAAACATGGAGTGTCCCTGATATGTAGAATAAAGTAGTTCTTTTTCAGTAACTTAGAAAACAGAATGCAGACAAGAGCTTACATAATAAAAGTTTATTCGTGTTGGGTTTCAGGATTGTGGAGCTGAAAGACTCGGTTTGTGATGTCAGCCTTGGCTTCAATAAAATCTCATCCGTTTCCTTGGAGCTTTGCATGCTCCATAAATTGACACATTTGGATATCAGGTTTGTGACGTGTGTTGGACTTCCTTTCTCGGTAACTTATTTTCATGCCTTTTTAAACCAGCCATCTGTTACAGTGGAATAGCAATACTGAAATAATTTTTCATTTCCCAAAATGCCTCTGTGGCAGTTGAATGACCGGCAGGTCTGAAATAGCAAGTGGCCTAGATTTAGAAAAACACAAAAAACAAGTGGACAAGCTCTGAGACTTGCTGTGATGGGAGAGCATAAAAGGTTCTCAGAGATGTTGTTATTTAAAAACAGCCCTTCCTCCTCGCCCCAAAAAACCCAGGCACCTCCACCAGAAAATTCAGGAGATGGGTGGGAAGTGGTACGATGGCGGTACAGACCCTGTTGTGCTGCTTGAAACTGAAGCTGTCTATAGGTGTTCTATTTGCAATAGATAGAGAAGGTAAAATGACAGTAGTTTGGGAGTCTTTAGAGGACAGACTTTTAAATCTGCTACTGGCAGAAATGAGAATGCAAACCTGGCTTGCATTAGCAAACATCTGTACTTGAGCGTGGTCTTGACCCATTTATGAAGCAGTTAATTGGTTTAAGATAGCATGTTAGCTCTGATAAATGTGTGTTTTGTCTCCGTGGATTCTTAACTAAAACTTGGTAGAAATTAGTGATTATTGTTTTGTCTTCATTTGATACACAGAAATAATTTTTTGACATCTTTACCTGAGGAAATGGAGGCACTGACAAGACTGCAAGTAATAAATCTGTCTTTTAACAGGTGAGCACCTATTTGGATTTTTTTTAAATATATAGAATAATCAAAAGAACCAGGCCAAATTCAATCTGATTTTTCCTGTGATGTAAAGATGAGGAAGCACTTGATCAACCAGCTGTGAGCTTAAAACAGATCGAGTACACGTGCTCCTTTACACAATGGGGGGTGTATTTTAGAACTTTCTGCCACAAGAATTTTGGAGAGAGACAGCAGCAACTGGTTAAAAGAAGAGATTAAACAACCTTGCAAAGAATATATCAAAAATGGATACCAACAGGCCTGCCCTTTGGCATCTGTAATACAACAGATCCGAGTGATGGAAAGTCAGGTGGTAAATGGTGGGCAGGAGTGGGTGAGGGGCGAGCGCTGGGCTGAAGCCCAGTCCCCTGCCCAGCAGAGCTTTTTTTGAAGTGCACAGAGAACAATTGGCCGTTGTTCCCCTTCATGTGGCTGGGTCACATCCTGTGAGACACTGGTCAAATGGCACCATTGGCCTGCGGGTGTTAGAGGTCCCGAGCTGTCTCCATGCACGCTTTGTTCAGCTTTTGCGTTGTGCACACGGTAAAATAACGGAACTTTCTCCTTGCAGTGCAGTATGTTTAAATGTTCACCTTAAATGAACAAAGCTAAAAATGCTGTCTGGCTTTAAAGGCTGCTAATGTTTTGAATGCCCTAATTCTGATTTTCATTTTTCTTCCTGAAGATTGAAAGTATTTCCCAGTGTCCTTTATCGCATCCTAGCACTGGAGACCATCCTGCTCGGCAACAATCAGGTGGGGGCCATAGACCCTCTGCAGCTGAAGAAGATGGACAGGCTTGGGACACTGGACCTGCAGAACAACGACCTCCTCCAGGTGCCACCAGAGCTTGGGAACTGTGAAACTCTGAGGTGTGTGTTTGAAGGGGTGATGTGGTTTATAAAATCCTATTCTGACCATTGCTTCAGGGCACTTTTTTGTCAGAGGGAAAAATACGAATTGGTAGTGTATTTGCTTGTAGGTCTTAGTACACAAAAAGGGTTTCTCAGCATTTGTAAAACAAGGCAGTTTCTTCTGTATTTCCTCAATATTGTAGAGAACTGGGGGAGTTGTTTCATGTTTTGTAAAAAAATGGTTGGTGTAAATCTAACGTTTGAGCCTAGATCTGGTGCCCCTGACTGTGTGGACACGCTGCTGGTGCACCCCCAGGGTAGCGGGCAGGCGAGCCAGGGCACTCTCTGCCTGCTTGTGCATTCAGCTCCTTACTTATGTCTATAGACGAGTCAGGAGAACTGTCTCTAAATAACAGGTAGAGACGTGACTGTGCATAGCTCTACGTATTTCACGTCGGAGAAGACAGTTACCCATAAATAGTCCATCTTGTCAAAGACAACAAATTACCAGTCTGTGAGATTTCCCCTTTAAAATACGCTTTCCAGGGGGACTTGAAAAATACAAAGTAAAACAGCCTCACCTCCCCAAGCAAAAACCCACACACAATTTGTGTGTACCAAAGACTAGCAGGCTAGCCGCTAAGCTAGAAAATGGAGGGTTGCGATTTAACGCAGTTTTCCCCTTTTATTGTGCCATGTCTGTATTTCAGTTCTTTTTTCTCACTGTCTTCTGCCAGAGGCTTGTTGAGGAAGTAGTGTGTGTCTGCAATAATTTACCACCACTGATGGATTAGCATAGATTAAAATTCGGATGTCTCTAAAGAAGATTAGTTACTGTGAAGTAGGGAAGCATAAATTACAGTTCTTTTAGTAGAAGAGGAACTATGAATTTCAAAAGATTCAAAAGATCTCTATGCAGTGTATGTATGTGTTGGCACAAGGAAAAGCCTTTGTCGAAGTAACTCAAACATCTCTGTTTTCCTAGGACTCTCCTGTTAGAGGGAAACCCATTTCGCACGCCCCGCGCAGCTGTTTTGGCCAAAGGAACAGCTGCAGTGCTGGAGTACCTGAGAAGCCGAATTCCTGCGTGATGCAGCAGCCCCCATCCTCGGCAGAGCCAGGAATCCAAGTACAATCAACGTATGATCTGTCCCACCACATCCCCCGGGGTTTCACTGCCTTCCCCTTCCTTCCTCAGCCCGTTGTTACCCTGGCTGGTGCCATAAAGCATTTCTGGTGCTGGTGGTTGTTTGCATGTGAAGAAACACCTCACCCATGGACTGTTCCCTCCAGGTTGCATGTTTCAGGAGTGCTTTTTAAAATACTACAATACATGTTTACACTTTTGGTAATATAAAATGCTGTTGGAAGCTGCCTTGAGTAGCAGTGACAATGGTTTTTCTACAATTGAGCTAATTTGTAAAAGAATTGTCAGCATCAAAGTATTTGACCAAAACACAGATGTAAACACGTGGATTTTTGTATGCCTGTTTTATATTTTCCTGTGAGGTTTTTAGTCTCTCCACTGCTGCCTCCGAAAATTACCTGCTGGTCTGTATGTGATAAAATGCTTGAATTCTTAAACAGTGCAGTGAGGGTGAGGATATGGTGCAAGAGGTGCTGCAGCCTGTGCGCAGCTCACAGAAAGGTAACCAAAATATGGGCGATGGTGGTGGCTGCACTGACACAATAAATGTTTCCTGTTGGATGGATGGTTTGGGGTTTATTTTTTTTAAGTATATCATATAATTAAGGTTTCTAGCCAGTAATATTTATATAGGTTTCCTGTTTTATTTAAAGACACTTCCATGTCCTGAAAGTAATACCTTTATTAGTAATTATGCATTGTGGATATTAATAACATAAAAGGAAGCGTGGCTGGGTGCTGCAGGGCCATTGCATCTCTGTTACTGCTCTGGGGCTGGGAATGGGAACTGGGGTTGAGGCAGGAACCAGACTGCTGCTGGTGGGGTGCTGGGTGGTACTTGGTTTGGATTTTTCAGCTGCACCAAGCACTGCCATGCCTGTGTTGCTGTACATGCTGCCTAGGTTGGGACACAGAGATGTCTGTCATCCATTTCATCCCAGTATTGCCTTGTTCTGCTGCTGGCAAATGCAGCACAGCGCTGGCCCTGTGTGTGGCCACGGCTTCTAATTGCAACCTGCTCGCTTTGCAGCCTACAACACAGAAAAAGCTTTCAAGTAAAACTTGTCTTTGCTACGCTTTAGGAGCAGAAACATGCTCGATCCTCTGCTCGCCTCTTCCATGAAGGCTGCCAGGCTGATGTCAAATTGATTTCCTTTCTGTGGGATGTGTTTGTAAGGGGAAAAAAAAAAGTGCGTGTGATGAAAGCATTTTCCCTTTCTCCACCTGTCCTTTCTGTAACACTGCAAAATTTAGCACGGTTCAATGTTAAGCTTTCTAGGTTTTGCATGTGTCCAGAATTAACATAACCCACGCTTGCTCATCCTCAGGGGCTGTGGGTTTAGCAAGCGCCTTTCAGCGAGAGCAAGGACAGCAGCTGCACTCACCGTCACCCCCTGCAAGAAAGACCAGGAGTAGCTGGGGACAGCAGAGTCCTGACACATGGTATGGATCTGCCATAGAGAGGGGAGGGGGTGGAGGGAAGCGGTGAGGCCTTTCCTGTTAAAAATACACGATGGCCGTCACCAGGAGCTAGTGCCAAACAAGAGAGTTACCAGTTGTCTGTGCTGGCTTCCCTCACCTGTAGAGCAGTGGTTTTGGAAACCCTGGATCCTTTCCAATAGTAAAAGATTACAAAAATGAATTACAATAAGGTGACATTTTTTATTATTTATACAATAAAGAGACTTTTTAATGTTATTCAAAACACTTCTTTAAATACTGAAAAAGTTGGGTACACCAAAGCCGAAAAATGGCTCTGCTATACACTGCACAGCATTGGTTTAGTCCCTGTATTTGTTTTATGTACAGAAGCATCTGCAAAATGCATTCTAAACACAATATGCACCTTACGGATAAGTGTCATACATGAAAGAAAACCGGAAGGATACAACCTGCGTGTGCAAATTAACTAACGATAGAATTGATTGCACTGAATCAATAGGTTTAAAATAGAATTTTGAAGTACCTTTTTGCACATAAAATGAAGCAGCTTTCAAGTTCAGTAATTTTATACTGCAAAAAACATTAAGTACATTCACAATCTATGTTAATAAAGTAGTAAATATTTCTTCGTCCAGCTTTATTTACATTAATACTGTAGTTAAACTGAAAAGTACAGTTAGTCATCTGTAATATAGCAATCTTTTAACACATACAAAAATGACCATTTTCTGTATATAATTTAAGCTCAAAATCACAATTATCTCAAAATATTAATTACAATACAGCCATCTCCATCATAATTAAACATGTCTTTTATAAAATGGTAAAATCTTTAATAAAGTAAGCTGTTGGTTCTGAACTGGATACAGTACTTGTGAGTAGAAAAGCGAACCAAGGAGCGCGCTGGTGCAGGCAGAGCCGCGCGGGGGTCCCGGCTGGCGGGGCTGGGCTGGGGCAGTGCTGCCGAAACGCCTCATAGGGGCTGTGGGAATTCTTACAATGCCATCATGTCATTCACTTCCAGAGCTTTGCTGGAATCATCCAGGAAGAGGATTGGCAAAAGGCGCTTTTTTTTTTTTTAATTATTTTTTTGTTTGGTTTTTAACAGAAATTATTCTGGGTGCCACTGCTGCACCGCACATGTGGCTTGGTGCCCGCCGCCACATATACCCGAAAGGAAGGTGCTTAAAACAAAACTGAACCACCAATTAATCCATATCCTATCCAAACTACTGGCCTGAAAGTTGTATCGTTGCGATGTGTTGTGCTCACACAGCTGATGAGGGAAATCGAGCCGTGCAGCTGCCTGCTGGAAAATGAAACCCTACGTCTTTGTGCGCGTGCCTAAAATTAACTTTGTGAAGGCAGAGGAGGAGGAAGAGTGCTGAGGCAGGAGGGGGAGCCGGTACATGCTGCCTGTGGGTAGGGAGCTCAAACTGATAGAAGTTGATTCTAATTTGGAAATTTTAAGTGTGAAATCCCACCAGTCACAAACCCTGCTCAGGTGGGCGCTGACCCCACAGCCCGCGGCTGAAGCAGGGATTTTGGGAAGTGGGCCCTTGTGTGAAATGCTGTTTGTGTTTTCCAGGGCCAGGATGAGCAGAGAGCCCGTGTGCTGCCACGCGCTGACCTGCCTGGGCACCGCAGGTCCCCGAAACGGGCACCCTGACACCCAGTGTCCCAGCCTGGGCACCCCCAGGCCTCTTCTGGAGAGCAGATCAAAATGGTGGTTTGTCATTTAATGCTGTCTTTGCATTTCCTGTTGCATATATCTATATCAGATATATACATATATACACACATAGCTATAAATAAGCAATGTTTTTATATGCTTATTAAAACATTTTAATGTTTTAATAAGGTAATTAACTGCTATATTACAAGCCAGAGAGGTTTAACCAAGGAACAGCTTTACATTCAAAGTGCTTACTCACAACAGTAAACCAATCTCCTGACTTTCAGACTGTAATTTTTAGTGGGATTTTTGGCTCATGAAGATTAGAGGGGTTCTCTAACATCAGTGGTTTCATATGAGCTAGAAAAATAATACAGCAGCGTTTCTGAGGTCTTGTCATCCCCATTCAGCTAACGCCACCCTTTCATGCCCAGTGTCTCCAGTGAACCCTGCACATTGTTGCATTTCCCATTCCCTTCCAGCTTTGCTCTCACCTCTCACTCCTGCACCAAGATCCCACCTGGCAAACCCCGTCCCCACTGCGGGAGCTCACGCGGTGCCCTGAACACAGATGCAGACACAGATATGTTAAAATATATCTTGGGGAAACATCAAAACAGAGTTGGAGATGTTAAATGATCGCTGTGATGAACAACTGGCTTCTAAATATCACAGAATCACAGAATTGTTTGGTTGGAAAAGACCTTTACGAACATTGAGTCCAACCGTAACCTGTTGTTTGGTTTCTCTATCCCTTTCTCTTTCCCCTGCAGAGCTGCCTTGTACCAAGACTGCAGGAAAGCAAAGGGGTAGTCATACTTAGTTTAAAATAAAATAATAATCATAACAATGTACAAAGCATGCACAGGACCTGGTACCCACCAGCAGACCTGGCTGTATGTGACTGAGTCTGTGAGGTTACAGGAGGGACAAAAGGTAGAACTTATTTTGAAGGAATAATGTAAAAATCCTAAATATTCCCATTAAAGTAATGTTAATTACTCAGAATGCTAGGGCTAGCTAAACACCATTTCAACCAATTTGAATTAAAATAATGCGAAAAAGAAAACATCTGGTATTTTTTGGGCAGCAGGGATTAATGTTAAAGCTTTGCTTCCTAGGGCCAGTGAGGGATATGGCCAAGTGAAGGCCATAAGTGTGACATTCCACTGCACTGACTTGATTTTATTGTCATTTCCTTGTCATTATAACCCACTAATTAAAGCACCCCACAACCCTGCAGTACCGCTCTGCAGACAGCCCTGACTGATGATGCCACTGAGCTTCAGGGCTGATCAGCTCAGCACACAGAAAAACCACCCAGCACAAAATACGGCATTAACAAGCGCTAAAGCTCACTTGTTTTTCACAATTTACCAATTTTTACCTGTAAGTTGATATCTTGGTTCTAGGTCTGGAGGCAGAGCCCTCGTCAGCCTTCCTAGATCTGCACCTCTCTACCCCATTTTTGGTGCCACGTACATAATGTGCACATTTAACACTGCCACGCATCTTGGGACGCTGCCTTGGTTTGATGTGGGGGCGCGTGGGCGCCGTGCTCCATACCACGACATCGGACAGTGTTAGCAGCTCACAGCTCAGGGGCCTTTACTCCCTTTTCCTGCCTGAAGCAGTCACGAGAGGGATTTTGGAGCTGTGCTGGGATCTGAAGCCTCCAGGCATGGGACAGCCGTGCCAGCACATGCTGCAGCACCACGTGGGTGAGTGTGCAGCCGCGTTTGGGAGGGCGATTTTCTGCATGAAAAGACAAAGGCAGCTCTGCAGAGAAATTCAGGTGCATAAATGCCTATTACGGGGCCTAATTC